AGCTACGTGCCAGCAAGGCCACACCAAAGCCACACGCCACCCAGCTCAAGCTACAAGACAGTCCCCCTGCAGCAATCGCTGCCTGGCACATCCAACCCAAGCCAGACTCTGCAGTACAGGCAGGCGAGCTACATGCAGCAAGTCGCAAGCCGCCAGCCTGTAATCAAACAGCAATCGTTGCTTGGCACAGTCAGCCCAAGCAAGACCCAAGCAGTCCCTGCGATCTCAAGCAGCGTACAGCACGTGCGTGCAAGCTACATGCCTTCGTCGTCAATCCAGAAGCCACCAATGCAGCCGTCGTTGCCTAGCACCACACGGCCAACCTATATTCAGACGACTTCTGCTGTCTCCAGTAGTGCGCAGGCGATGTTCACACTGCCGGCAAGATGCCACAAACTATGCACTGTGCAGCAATCGCGAGTTGGCACGGCAAGGCCAACACAAACGATGTCGACATTCTCAGGCAATGTGCAGCACATGCCACCGACCATCGGAGGCTGCCATCCTCTCGCTGGCCAGTACTACGTGCGCGTGGGATGAAAAAAGGTTGTGCGGCTGCGTTGTTTCTGCAAGCTACAGTCAAGCCATTGTTGGCAAAGACGATGATTTCGCGGTGCTGCTAAGATGTCCGTGTGACATAGGACATGGACTTCGTTGTCGGGTGCAAGCTACAGCTGTACTGGTTCAGCTCACGGCTCCGGTTTTCTGAAATGATTTGCACCGACAATGCGACCCAAACAGCCGGTGTTTCTACAAGTTGTTCGTGAAGTTTTAGACAAAATTGAGGGGGCTTCCCGCAAACGTTCATAGTTTGGATGTTGCTTGCAACAAACAGCGAGCGGCCACCCGTGGCCCATGGTGATTGCGTTTGCCAGGGTCACCAAGACTGTGCCCAAGAACACAAACAGCTTGCTAAGACTCGTGTGTCTTTGAAGCTGAAGTGGCCTGCCAGGAAAGGATACACTCCACCACCGCCGCCCGATCCGAAGCGCAAGGCCGCGCCGGCTTCTCAGGACACTTAAGTTCTTGCTGCCACGCCTTCTCCACAGCAGTACCTAAAGAGCCCAGAGCACTGAATCATGTACTTCCGGGATACACCTTACATCCTACTAATGGGTGGAGGCTAGCTGCCTTGTCGAGGCCCTTTGCACGTTTTCAAGATATGTTCAACTAGAAGCATTCGATAATAGCATTTCGTGGTTCAGGAACAGTAAGTGACAGTGGACTCCGTCCACCATGCAGCAGGGTGCCTTCCTACCTCCCCGACCCATCTTTCCACGAGCCAACTTCACAGGCAGCTTTGCCCAGGTTGATGCCATGACGTTGTAGTGCAAGCTTCGGTTTCTTGCGTTGTTGCAACTGGGCTTCTTGCTGCCTTTTCGGAGTTTTTCGATGTGCCGAAATGACGTCATCAGATGACCCTAAGGTCCAGATCGCAGGTTCATGTCAGGGCAACATGAAATCTACGAATTCCTTCAAGAAACCTCCGACACCTGCTGATGCCCACATCTCCACCAAGATCACCAAGAGCTGACGTCTAAATCTTGGTCCTAAATCCTTCGCTCCACGCCCGAAGCCCTCGACGCGAAAGCCTCAACCCCCAAGCACACAGCCTCCGAGGCCCGCTCCTGGCTTCGCAGGCGCCAATGCCTACGCCTACCCGCGCTTCCACTTCCAGCCGCGGGCCACAGCTCGGGTTTTTTAGGCTTTGGGCCTTCGCGGTTTAGGGTCTTGATCTTTTGGATGCGGGGCTTACTTAGGCTTTAGGCTCTTGGGTTTAGGATGGTCTGGTCTGCATGTTCGCCAGAGATGGTCGGTGACCGTCAAAAAAATCTCCTCGAATTTGAGGGTGAAGCTTAATTAGCCTGTGCGAGCTGACTAAGTTGAATGCGGTTTGGGGCACATCACGAGGTAGTTGTACAGGCACTACAAGGGGCTAATATGTTGCATGCCAGCCTGAGGCCCAAGAGCGTATTTCTGGAAAGGGGCCACTACTTAGGGTCTTGAGGTTTCAGGGTCATGGGTTGAAGGGTTAAAGGGTGTTAATTACTTCATTCCATACACAAGCCTGGCCGATAATTAGTCCAAATCCCAGGAATCACGTTGCCTTTCAGATTCCTAGCTTTGGAAGATCTGAAATCGAATGTGGAGAACTCTGTCGCCTTAGGCACAAACCGATGAGGCAACACATGGGTGCCTTTGAGGGTGGAACTATTAAGAGAACCTAGTTTGGAGAACTGCCCACGTGATCTTGAACCCTAGACTGCAGGCAGCAACCTCGTGATTAAGAACTTCCGGTTGCCCCTTGAGCTCTTATCTTGCGTTGTTCTGTCGCAAACTTCCAGGTTGAAATATCCTGACTCTTAAGTTCAGAAGCAAGAAACCTTCAGGAATCGTGGGCACCAGCGTACTTGTGAGTGATGGTTGGTTGACCCTTACTTCGAGAGTTCACAGGAGAGCCACATGCCGGACTACTAGCTTGTTTTGTCTTAAGTTGCCAGACTGAGGAATCCGTATCATTTACTATCAAAGGCCTGTAAGCTATAGGATCCAAAAAACATCATAACATCCTGAAGCCAATATGTGAATATCTGCTTCCCCATATTCTGTGCTTAGGCTTGATGTACGCATACTCGGCTGGAGGGACATGTGATCCTCGCTCTCAGGAAGGAACACACGGAGCGAATACACAATAAAAGAGGAATACAGCTGAAACGAGAGGAGGATGACTTAGGGGCATATTCCCTAATGCTTCTAATTTGTGGATCCTGTCTGCAACTATCGAAGATGACTAATGTAGTTTACTCTTGAAGAGTATCTTGCCAAATTAGGGGGGTTAGATTAGGCTCTTTGGAACCCTCTGCAGCAGCCTGACCTCGGACCCAGGCACGACGTTCCGAGTGGTGGTGCCACGTAGGGCCCTCAGCGACAGAGATTCGACGCAGGCTCACTTTTTTGAGGAGTTGGTCTTTGATCACTGTTCAATCTTAAACCTTGTAGAGCCAGATGATATTTTCGAAGTTCCTACCCTGGTGACCGGCTTGAATTTTCCACACTTTCCTGTGACGCCTGTTTTACTCGTGCCTGCGTAGGGTACAATGCAGCAGAGAAGCTGGTCGCCTCAGAGAGCCATTTTTATACTATATTATACTGTAATATATTATACTATACTATATTACACTATGTTACACTCTATTACAAAATGTTATACTATACTATACTGTATTATACTTCATTATACTATATTACACTATATCACACTCTATTATACTCTATTATACTATATTATATTTTATTGAACTATATACTATAGTATACTATATTATACTATAGCATACTATAGTATACTTTATTAAATACTATATCATAATGCTCACAATGCGATCCGTGGAAAAACCCTGCGTCTTTCACTGGCTGTTTGCTGTCGGCCTCCTCTGTTCAGGTTCGGAGCAATCCCACAGGAGGAAGCTGCCGCCTCGGCTTCTCCAGATTTTGCAAGGGCCTGAAGCAGCGCAAACGGCTAGAAAGCCTGCACATACGGTGACCCTGCTCGTCCTGCACCGGTGCTAGACTCCTCAATCTATGCATCAACGCCCACTCGTGAATGTGCGCATACCTCAGGATCCTCCAGGATCTGAGCACTACCGGACGCGGCATCCTCAGCGGGTGCAGCATGGGCGGCGTGTCGAGTGGACTGTTGTACTTATGAGTTTCCGAACTTAAGTCACGTCACCTTAAAACAGATGTAAGTAAAGGATATGCTTTCCGTGGTATGCTAAGCTCAAGTCAGCTACTTGGCAGGAACAGAGTCTTCATGGGCCTCTGGAGGTACAAGTTAGTAGCTTTATTGGTGTTATCCTATGTACAACCCTACCTAAAGCGTATGCACTTGGTCCCATGTTGCTTCGAGTGCTTGCACGCATCTTCTTTCCTGCATATAGTCTCTCCACAGAATGCGTGAGTTCCGCTGTTTTCGTCCAAGTTGACGGGAGGCCTGATGAACAAGCACACTATACTGAAGGTAGCAACGTATTGACTTTAAGCCATCAGATTTGGCTTCTCGATTGAAGCGTGAAAGTTGTGAGAATAAGGGGGCCCAGGGGGCCACATGTCTACCTCACAGAAAAAGCTATCGATTATAATGACCCCGAGAGGCACACCCCTCGTTCTTAAGAAACCCGTCATAAAACCATTTTAAAAATCATGACTGTTGCTTTTTGGTAGACTTGATATCTTCCTACAAGCTTACAAAAACCCTGCAAAACCCAAAGGGTGCCCTTGGAGTTTCGGAAGCCCTCGTCTTGAGGCTGGGGTTGCGCCCTGGGGCGGCAGCACCGGAGGCACGGACTCCACCTCCGTGGTGGAGCCTGAAAAGCCCATGCCTGGAACGGATATTGAGGTCAAAGAAGGATCGCCGAGACTTTTCGGAGTTTAACATGGCAGTTATGTAAACAACCGTCGGTTAAGGAACTGCCAGTTCTGAATACCACATTGACATGCACAGCGTCGATTTCGACGCGAAAGGCATTTCAGACCTAACGCTGCCGCGTGCTTTGCAAGTTGAGACGATGGGCAAAGGGCCAGCCTTTGGGGAAGGAGGAAACTCAAGCCTGCACCTGTCATGCCATGCCATGGTCATGGCAAACTTATCTTTGTTTGTGTCCATGTGCAACTGATCACACACTTCCTCCTACCGGCCCTTTCACTTTCAGCTCTTACTTCATGGTGCCAAGCTAGAGGTCCGGAAAGCCTACCGACAGCTGGCGCTCAAGCTCCATCCGGACAAGCAGACCAAGGACTGCCGGGACCGATTTGTCGGGCCCGCGCTAGAGCCAAATGCAACAGAGGCAGACATCCTTCAGCGGTCTTGCCGTTCTGACAGGGTTGCCAGAGTCATGCTTTGCATCGTAGCAGGTGCTGTTGAACTCTTCCTGGAATCTGAAACCATCCAGGACTTGGACGGAGCCCGCTTCAAGAAGGTCACTGCGGCTTACAAGGTGGCACCCTCATGCAATCCCTCACTTCGGCTCATGTACTGAGGCCCGGGTCAGCCTAGATCTAAGAAACCTCGACTTCAGAAGGACTTTGGCGAGTTAAGAGCATGCTTCCAGGATAAGGTAATCATCACAGCTGTGTGGCATTCTCATGCCACTGGCACACCGCATCCTTTTGAAACCCGAAACGCTGAACTGTACCTTTCAACCTAATGGAGCAACCAGCTTGTCTCCCAGAGCACGGCGACTTCCAGCCCAGGCCTAGATGATTTTGCGCATTTTGCGGATACGGAAATCTCCTTCTGTTTGTTAATAACAACGACTGCTACAGCAGTTGTTGGGATTCAGTTTTTCCTGTTGCTGGCGAGTCCAGCCCACGGCAGGCCATCTGCGAAATCCTCGACAGCTGAACTCCACGTGTTGGGTGCGCGCGGACTTGCAGAAAGTACGCTTCTTCGGCATGCCATGCCGATGCTGCAACATCAGCCGGGTCAGTGGTGCCGACATGCCAAGTAAAAGGAGTGCCTGAAGTGGCGATTGCATATGACTTTATCTACAGGGCCCCGCCCCGCCAGGCAGCCTTTGCCGTTCAGATCCATATGGGCAAGTAGTCAAAAGAACACAGGCGAACACGATCAACAACTATCACCACCTAGGCAGAAGCATGAAATGGGTAAAGCGGTAGTTCACGTATGCATGCGAAACACCGGAAGCGCATTTGGAAACTGTTGCCCTGCTGAAGATGGACTCGTGGGCCAGCACCTCAGTTGCGGCCGCGCTTGATAGCCCTTCGCATTAGACATGGAAATTTTGAGCTGAGGGAGGACGTCTGTGATGCTATGAGTAGCTGGACGGACTCCTTTCCCCAGTGCGCTTCAACCAAGTCACGCAATCGCCGGTCTGGGGCGCCCATCAAGACTATTTGCATGTACCAAGGCTGGTGAATTGTATATTTGCACTTGCTGCATGCCAATGCAAACACATGGTCAGCAAGACAAAGAAACGCAAGACCACCGTGCTTGGGTGGAAACGTACGAGAAGATTTCAACTGGCATGAATGTTGGTCTCGGGCAAACAAGCGTGGTACATACGGGACTTTTGCCAACCAGAGCGGACGGCCCACCTCATTTGCTTGCTGCGTGTCGGAAATCATTTTGATTTATTGTTAAAAAATAATTTTATCTTCGTATCTTCGGTTATTGGCCCCGATCTGGGTTTATCATTAAATGATTCTTTTTAATTTCTGAGTTTATAAAATAATATGATGAAATTTTATGAAAGAAAAATAAGATGTGAAATTTTATATTTTAATTTTTAGATTTAATTTTAATAATATATCTTGATTGATTCAGAATTATGAATATTATATAGAAAAAATATTCATTGGTATTTTCTATTGAATTCTGTTGATAATTTTCTTGAAATTTTTTTAAAGTGCTTTAAATAACTTGGTGAATACTTAATTTTGAAATGATGCGTAATTTTTCGTTTTTGAATATGGCATCGAGAAAAATCTAGTTTTAATTTTTTTTTTGGTTGGAATAAGAATATGATGCGAAAATAAATATTAAAAAAAATGAATCGCGATTTTTATTAAGAAGATGTCTAAACAAGACGTTGAATTTCTCGAAAGAAATTATTACTATTATGATTTAGCAGAAATAAATTTTGAAAAATAATTTTTTGATTTAGATTTATAAATATTTTGGCCTAAATGTTTGAAGCATTCGATTTTATGATTTTGGTCTAAAGGCGAAAATATGATAATTGATTTTTTGAAACTAGTATTGATTATTTTTCTATACTACTAATAATATATATTGTATTTATAGATCTATACTAAGCAAGCAATCGTGATTATTAGTGGTGCTATATCTGGATAATGAATTTCTCATCTGATAAAATAAATTATTATTGATTTTTTTGGGGTTTTGTGGAGTGCTGATTGAAGTCTGGGCAAGTTAGAAGCAATAGACATGTCTCTGGGACTCTTGACCTTTGTAAAGTGTGGGCAAATGAAGGGCAGACATGGTTTGAAAGGATCTTAGTGACGTGTCAGGAAATTCGCAGGGCAGCAGGTGCGCGATTACAGGTGTGTTCACCTTGTGAAGTGCTGTGGCAGGACTGCTGTTTCAAGGACTCGCATATCCGGGAGTTGGCGCGGTCAAAGGTGTGTTGGTATCCAGACTACTATGGAACATGCAATCGGGCATTATCTTTTAATTTTAGCGTCAAAGGATAGAAAGCGAACATCATTTTTCGGACAATGCAGCTTTTACGCTGCCGAAAACAAACATTACACGAGATTTTTGTTTGCTTCAAAAATATTTGTGTCTCCACTTTTCCATCGCGCGTATTATGCAAGGAGACACCTGGTTTCGACGTGGGTGAGCTGAGGTGGATTGGAATGTAAATCAGCACTTAGGAGTCCTTGATGCATTCGTGGAAATTATGTGAGCACGGTCATGGTTTTTTTTGGCGCCCGTCCGGTGTGATTTTTAGCATGTGCTTATTTGGCCGAAGAAGTGCCCGAAAATGGAGCACAACGCTGCAAAATATCAACACCTGCGATTCCAGCTCAATTTTGATTGTTAAAATTGTCTGCATTTCTGTTTCCATTCTCAGAAAACGCTTGAGGATTCGCTGTGTGAATTTGAATTCCAACCAGACTGATTGGGTTTGCCGTGGGACAAAAAATGATTTTTCCATTCCTTGCCAAAGCCAAAGCTTTATCAATTTGAAATCAACAACATTTAAAAACCACGTCTATTCAAAACAAACAACCCCCAAAAAAAAAATCTTCATGAAAAAAATTATTTATTTGTGGGTTTTTTTGTGTGTCTTGAAATTGCATGCAATCATAAAAAAAAAATCCAAACGGCGTATATTATTGTTTACCCCACTCCATCCCCCCAGCCCCATTTTGCTTCAGTCTAAAGCACGTTCTTTTTGAAGGTGGTGGAAGGGGGGTTTGGGAGGGGGGTACTAGTCAATAGAGGGGGTGGGGCGGCCCCAATTTCACTTGTGGATAAGGCGCGTTGTTTTGGGAAAGGGGTGGGAGACAAGGCGGTGGGGCTGATTACCGACAATTCTTTGTACCAATGGAAATCGATATTACAGAATCCCAAGCAATGGAATGTAAGCGCATCGGTGTAATGACTGCTTTTCTTCGAAAAACTATCATATTCAAAAATATTTTTTCCCTTTCAGTATGGAAGCCTTAGCAAATATTCAATAGATTTTCTTATATTTTTAAAACCAGGGTGAACAACAACCTCAACTTGGTGCTATTGATTTTTTTATGTGCTTGCGTGCAATTTCAAGACACACAAAAAACCCACAGATAAATGATTTTTTTTTCATGAAGAAAGTTTTTTGGGGATTATATTTGTTCTGAACAGAGCTGCGTTAGTTTGGTTCGAATTCAAATTCGCAATGCGAATGTTTGAGCAAACCACGGTGAACAACAACTTCAACTTGGTGCTATTGATTTTTTTATGTGGTTACATGCAATTTCAAAACACACAAAAACCCACAAATAAATGATTTTTTTCATGAAGAAAGTTGTTTGGGGATTATTTTTGTTCTGAACAGAGCCGTGTTAGTTTGGTTTGAATTCAAATTCGCAATGCGAATGTTTGAGCGTTCTTTGAGAATGGAAACAGAAATTGCATACATTTTTCAAAACTCAAAACTTTGCAGGAATCGCAGGTGTGTTTTGCAGCGTTGTCCTCCGTTTTTGCGGCGCTTCTCCGCTTGAGTCTTAAGCACGTTGTGTTTTTGGAAGGTGGTGGTGGAAGGGAGGTTTGGGGAGGAGTTGCTAGTAAACAAGGGGGTGCATACACGCATGACACCATGAACTTGTACCAAAACATTTTCATCCAAGGGGCAGATGCACCCCCTAACTAACTGAAAAGTCACGATCATCCAGGCTTTTCCTTGTTAAAGGGCAGTGGAGGGGGGTGGGGCGGCCCCAATTTCATTTGCGGATTTGGTGCGTTGTTTTGGGAAAGAGATGGGATGAACGGGGTGGAGCTAAATACCGACAATTGTTTGTACCATTGGAAATCTATTTTACAGAATCGCAAACAATGAAATGTAAGCGCGTCGGTGAAATGACTGCTTTTCTTGAAACACCACCATATTCAAAAAAACCATTTCCTTCAACTTTAATATGGAAGCTATTCGCGTCTCCGGCCATCATGCAAGCAATAATTTAAATGGGGTATATTATTTTCAGCCCCACTTCATTCCCCCCCCCCCCC